TTCGTTTCGTTTCGTTTCGTTTCGTTTAGTTTAGTTTAGTTTAGTTTAGTTTAGTTTAGTTTAGTTTAGTTTAGTTTAGTTTAGTTTAGTTTAGTTTAGTTTAGTTTAGTTTAGTTTAGTTTAGTTTAGTGTAGTGTAGTGTAGTGTAGTGTAGTGTAGTGTAGTTAGTTAGTCAGTCAGTCAGTTAGTTAGTTGTGGTAGTAGTAGTAGTAGTAGTAGTAGTAGTAGTAGTAGGAGTAGGCTGCAGTAGTAGTTGTATGCTACCACGGAGATCCTGTGCAAAGCTTTGACGCAGGGCTCGGACGGCTGCTGCGCAGGCGCCTGTGGCCGCGCCGAAAACCACGGTGTTCGCTTCAACGGATGCACTCGCCTCGCACGGATGACATGTTCATGGCATTCACCGGTTTCGGGTTTAGGGTTTACGGATACCGTGGCTGCAGAAGCTCACCCTCCGAGCAAACAATCTGAAACCAACCTACGTGTCAACAGCACCAGGTACCCTGCCATGTCCCAGAAGAGCTGACAAGCCGCACGCCACCTCGTGGAATGACGAAGTCACGCGCATGGGGTAACAGTTCAAGTGCTGCGATATGAAACAAGCTGGAAACAGCTGAAGGCATCCTTGCAGCCGCCAATTGACATGAATTTTGTCAAGCCGCTGCACGGCATCTGCACAGGCCGCCAGTGCAGCACTGTAGGTCACGACGTTTCCTCGCGGAAAGTTGTGCAACCTCAAGGCCCAAGATCTGGCCTGAACACCCTGAGTTGTTGCTCAAGCAGGCTCAATGTGTTCCAGCACTCATCTACGTAGGGATCCTAAAGGCCGGCAAATTTGAAGCCAATGCGCCCCTTTCAGTCCTTGCAAGGAAGTGGCCGGAATACTGGTGAGGAGTTGGAGTGCACTGAGCCACCTTGGACCAGTCTCGTCGCAGTTCTTGGGAGTGAGCGACGGGCCTTGCCAAATTGTGGCTTGATTCCTTGTCATGTGTTTCGGTGCTGTTGCATGGCCGGCTCGAAAAAGCTCTGCTGCCCCACACAAAGTGCCGCCTTAACTCACGCAGGCAACGCAAATCAGTGAGGATGTGGATGCTCACAGTGGCCTGAAAGCGTTGCCAAAGTTACCAATGTTGCTGAAGGCTGTGGGTCTTGTTCGTAACGCTGCCTTTTGACATGCGAAGAACTGCGCAGGGAACCCCCCTTCCGGAACAGGCCAGCCAGAGAATCAAATCTACAGTTGCTTTGCAGAAACGAGCTCTTGATCTGTCAATTCACGACCTTGTCAGTCTTAGTATGACTTGGATTCTCGGCTTGCCATTCCATTCCGGTGTGGAGCTTAGGCTTACGGCATTGGGTCCTTCAGAAGCTGTGAAACGTCTATGCCCAGCTCCGCCCTTTCAGTTGGGCCAAGAGTATGTACACCTTTCGCTTTAGGGCGACCCCGCTCTGTCGCTGTCTTCACCTCGCAGAGCTTCGTTTAAGAAACGAGGGCTTTCGGGTGCATCTTTAGGGTTTAGGGTTTAGGGTTAAGGGTTTAGGGTTTAGGTGACTTCAGCAATACGAACGACCAGAGTACCTAGAGTGGCAATGCAAGATGTAATCGTAACCTGCGCAGAAAAAGAATCGCGACATCGATGGAAGGGCAACAGCGACAGCACCAGCTACATATCGCCTTCCGACATGCAGCCGAAAAGTGTGTGCAAGTAAGACCTCTGGGCAGACCCATCCTCTCAAACCTCACGCAACCTTGTGCTTCATCATGGGGAATGAAGCAAGGGCTAAGACTTAGAACAAAATCAGTTCTTGAGTCCTTCCAGCAACCTCGACTCTTTATGACTCTTGCCGGCCTTGCCTCACTTCGTCAGCAATGCAACGGAGGCCAGCGTGCCAGTGATCAACAGCCGCAGAAGGCATCGCATCACACCGGCCTCCGTGTCCAGGCACTGAGTTTTTTTGAGGATGACACCGGAGCGGAGGACTGTCTGTTTAGGGTTTAGGGTTAGGGTTTGGGGTTTAGGGTCAGACTCTTGGTAAAGTCGTGATGCTGTCGGTGCTAGCTGGCTATCTCATCCTCATGCTTGTCCTGTGAGCCCGGAGCCTCAATACCTGAATCTTCCAGACTCCAAAAGCCAAGAGTGAAAGAGGATCTCCTCCACTTAAACCTTATCAGGGTTTAGGGTTTAGGGTTTAGGGCCTCCACTGAACCTTCGGACGCTTTCGCAGCTCTTATAATTAGAAAAGGATTTTGAGGGTTCCTTATTATACATGTAGTATAATATAGCCCCGCCTACATTACAACATCGAGCTCTTTGTCGGGAGCTGCGCCTCAGGCGGGCGCTTCGAAGCACACGGCTGCTCGGTGGCTGACCTGGTGATGACAAGGAATGCCCCGCTTGAATTTTAGCACAGGTGACAGGTGTTTGGGGTATTTGCGATCGTCATGGTGTGGCAGCAAAATTGTTCCATCCAAGTTGTCTTTTCTGGACCCGGCGGGTCCAGGCACATGGGGGGATGATTTTGAGGTGAAGAATGCTGTTGCGAAGATGCTAAACCCTAAACCCTAAACCCAAAACCCTAAACCGAAAGGATGGAGCTAAGCTTGGGATGATGAAGTGGCTGTCCGGCATCACGCACCTCGGCCTGCTCGCAAAGCTGTCGGTCGGCTGCTGTTCAGCTTGCCTCCGAGGCGACAGTGATGCACTGACGAGGTTGCGCTTGGGGACGAGGTTAAGATTCGCTTGTGGCTTAGGGTTTAGGGTTTAGGGTTTAGGGGTTTAGGGTTTAGGGTTTAAGTTCTGGGGTATGGTGGCGTTTATGTCCTACTGCTACTGGATTGTTCTGGATGTATGGACAATGGATGGAAGTTACTGGGTTCCTCCACCTCTGGTTTCCAGAGCACACCTGGCGTGGATTTCGGAGATGGACCACAGCTTCGGCTAAGGTTAAGGCGTCCTCAGTCTTGTCGGTGTAGAGATGGTCCAGGCATGACAGCGGTGAGAGATCTCACTCTATTCACATCCTGTAGTGTTGTAAACCCTAAACCCTAAACCCTAAACCCTATATCATATTCTTCAGATATGTTCTGTGCAGAACTTGGGAAAGCTACCTAAGGGCTTGCTTACCTAAACCCTAAACCCTAAACCCTAAACCCTAAATGTCCCAAAACCCTAAACCCTAAACCCTAAATGTCCCTAAACCCTAAACCCTAAACCCAAACTTCGGTGCTCTTTGCCGAGAGCCCGGGAGCCCAGGAAGGATGGAAGCCGCTTGAGCCTGGGCTGGCCCTGAAGACTTTGGGACATTTAGGGTTTAGGGTTT